TACAAACAAGGCTGATTTTATACAACATAAAATGTAGTAGCTAACATGGGTGAACTAAAGCTACACTATGAATATATTTCTAATATATTAAAGCATTTTTTTATATTGGATAAATAGGCAATTACATATTGTCATAATATTATTTCCAACAGTTTTCTAACGTTGTTATGACAGTGCCTATGGTAGTTTATGAAAAGAGCTATATGAGCAGATAATAAAAGAGAGTTCTGCATCATTCAGATGCTGCAATGAAGGAAGCAATATCTTTCTTTAATCTTCTTTATTTATAACAATGATTTTTTTTTTTTTTTTTTACTGGGTTGATTACAAGAGTATTTGACCACTTCACAGTCATTAACTCCTTTAGATGCATAAAGTAACAAATGCCTCTCTGAACACAGTGAGACTCTGATCAATACTTAATAATACAATACATCATAACAGAAATGGCAGCACACTGGCTAATGTATTAAATAACCATACAGAACAGAAGTGCTCAACTTCTCTGAATATTGCACTCAGAAATGTTGTTTTTTTTTTTTTTTTTTAGCAAGACTTCATGTTTAGAAGCAGTAGATTCTGCAAGTGAATACATTTGTTTATCATTGCAACTCCTGTTTGATTATTAATCCAATTTTACAAAGAAGCTGGGGCACAGAGAGGAAGCATTAAGAAAGTTAGGAGTTAGAATGTCTTTTCTACTGTCTTTGATCTGGAAATCTGAGCCTTTTTATGCACAGAAAACACTACTTAGTCTATTTAAATTTATCACATAACTTTATAGCTCTATGAGCATTCAATAGACTACAGTTGAAAATCATCCTAACATGTCTAAAGAAACAAAAGCTGCTTTAGTCATGGAAGTTAAATATAGAGAGGTAGTAATGGTCCTTTCTTCAGTCCTGTACATTTTCTCAAAGATGAACCATCAGTTTTTATAGCAAGGGGTTAATAGTAAAACTAGATAACATTGCCCAGTTGCACAAGTATCCATATTTAGTTTTGCTAGGATTACTAAAGTTTTGGCACTGCACAGTCTGTATGTTTTGAGCTGTAAGCAACAAATCTTCCCATTTCTTCTGTCCTGTGCTCTTCTAAGTATATATTAACCATTGTAACTATCTGCCGAGTTCCACAATACTGGGCAATGTTGGCAAATATCCACTAGTGACAGATCTTTTACTGCATCTGAAAGTTGAATTTAAAATTACCAGCATGAGAAATAGGTGTTCTTTTAGTAGAAACTGTAATTTGATACTGAGTTGGTGGTCATTTAAAAATGGAGTTTCAAAAAGAAAAAAATGTCATAGTCCAAAAAATAAAAAATTGAAAAATGAGACTTGCACACCAAATTGGATAGGTCTGTGTTAGCAATAACAAATTCAAGTGGCATATAAACTTTATGCATCTTGCATGGTTGCAGAGTGAAGTCAATAATTATTCACTTGCTTAAATCAAAATTCTCATTAACTTGATTAGTAGCAAAAAAGTAGGGAATGTATGTTGGTTTTAGGAATCTGTGTCAAAGTAATGATGCCGTTGCTGTACCCACCATACTCTACTATGTGACTCAGGTGATCAGGCAGTGCTAGCTAAAGAACCTCTTGAATATTAATCCAAGATCAAATGATAGCTTTCACTTTTCATTGACTCCATGTTTGGGAAATTTGTCTTCCTCACTACTTTGTTCTGTAATATTTGCAGATTTTTTTTCTTCGCATGGTTCTCTTTCACAGAATGACACCAGAAATGTTTTCCTCATGACTTTTCCCTTGCCCAGTTAACAAGCTGATGAGATTTAAATAACAGTTGAAGATTACTAAGAAAATCTGAATAAATCAAATGTACAGACATTTACAATAGTTGCATTTTTTTCTCTTTTTATTTCCTATTTTTGTTTGATTAAAACTACAATATGAACAATGTTTTAGAAGGTGAAAAGTGAAATCTGATTTTCATGGCATTTAACCTGATACATGGTATAAACCTAATCTGTTTAGGAGTGCTTTGTTTGAATGTACTGACATGCATTTTCAGTTCCAGTTTACTGAATGTGTTCTTCAGCTTCCTTCATTTATGGATCTGGTGAAGGAGGAATATTAGACATTACTTTTCTTACTTGCCAGAGTTCCAGATTTTCCTGAGCCAAGTGTGAACAAAGAATTTCCTGTAGGACAGCCTACTGTGGAATTCAGTAAGAATTTCAGAATTAAAACTGTAAGCTATGCTGTCTGCAGGATGAAATAACAGGGAGTCTTTATTCCATCATGCTTAGAAATGACTTCCTGAAAAAATATACAGTATTCTGTTCTCGTAGGGTATCACATTATTCATTCCTCTGTTTTCAAGTTAGGCACACAAAAAAATGTTGATAAAAGTAGCTATAATCAAAGAACATGTGAAAACTAAATTAGAGATCATTCAGATGAAAAAATTTTGTTAACATCTTCCTAATGAAGGATATAGCCTCCACTTTTAGTCTCAGAAGAAGATTTTGGTGTGTTTTTCAGTTATTAGTTAATCTTGATCTCTAGAGTCACCATAGAACAAAGAAGAGAAATAAGAAAAAATTAACATTTTCTGAAAACAAAATATTTTTGTAAATATGGACTGATCTGAAACTTCTTAATTCTGATGAAAAGGAGCGCTCTGACTTTTGAGAGTGGTGTTGGAGCTTTGCCTTAGTAATAGGTTTCCTGTCCATTCAGCTACACGAAGATATATATACTTGAGGTTTTGTTTCTTTGTTTTCATGCTAGCTTGGACAAAAACTTCTTTAGTGTTGAATAAATCAAATGTATGTATTTTGATGATTTATATATTAACTACAGATAAAACATAAACTTTAGAAGTGTCGGAAAGAACTGAAATGAAAGAGAGAGAGGACTGATTTAGAATGTAGAGGAGTTATTAGTTGGCTAGAGTAGTTAAGGTTTATTTTGAAAAAAAATAGTTAATTACTTTAAATCAGAGGAAATTTACAGAGCCATTGATGTATAGTGCTCAGAATCATTCCTGCCACACTATCATACCAAGAATGTCAGTTATCTCTAGTGCCCTGTAGATGAAAAGGACAAATTCAGTCTCATTATTATACATTATGTTCTCTTCCTGAAAAGGCTGTGTATTCCCTAGTCATGCCTATGAATTTAGTGTATGTAAGGAATTACACTGAACAGGATATGTAGAAAACTGTGTTGACCATTATACTTCTCTATACATAACTATATTGATTATAATGACTATTAAAATGAAACTAAATTTGTGAGGCCTGTAAAACTTATCAGTGGTAAATTTATTTGGAACTTCTTAGCTTTATGATTTTATTAATTTTTTAATAATATTTTTATAATGTTTACTGTGTTACTCCTATGACAATCATAATAGTGTGTACACACAAACCATGAACACCTCTATTTTTTGATTCTTCATCTTCTTAGACAAGTCTCACTGAAAGAGAAATTTGCTATATATATATATTTTGCCCTCTTCAAAATGAATGTACTTCATATGTAAGGACTGCTATGGAAGAAAATCTTTTTTATTTCCCGTAAAATGTGGGAGGGATTGAATGGTTATATTGTGTATATCTACATAAATATTATGATGCTATCTTCAAGTGCATGATCATGTTTTAGTCATTTCCTCCCTTATATTCATCGTCTATTGAGATCTTACATCACTCATCACAGAGAATGACTTAAAAATTAATTGCAGACAAAGGAAGCCTGTGACATTTTTTGAATACTTGTCTTTGCAACTGAAAGAACTTACATTTTTTTGAGGGTAATGTGTTTTAGATGTAATACACATACAATTTTTTTCTTGCTATTATTAGGAAGTTTAGACACTGTCAGTGAATACTCAGAACTCCCATAAAGAACAGCTGAAGATCTGCACATGGAGGAGAAGTAGATTATCGAATTGAGCTCAGCAGTGCATCTGAGAAAGGAAGGTGCTTCCCTAAGCCTTTTTTTTTTTTTTTTTTCCCCCTCTGGCAGTAGGTAGTATAAAGAGAAGGGATGATAAGGACTAAATATGCCAGATGCCTTGACTTGTGCTTCCATTTGCATATTTTACACTCCTTCAGTTTCCAAAAGAAATAGGTATGCACTTATGACTTTTGGTCTGGTTTATCTTGGTATTGTTTATATAAGTTAAAAGGAGACTTGATTAACTTTCCAACCTTTTCTTCCTTCAACTATGAAGAGATGTTTTTGGTCTCCTCCCTCTGCATTTAATCAGTTCTTCTGTATTTGCTTGGTCTTGTACTTCTGTCCTTACAAGCTTCAATAGGCTCATCATATTTGATTTTGCTAAAGATCTCATGGAAAACGCTGAAAAACATTCTTCTTGGAAACAATTCTGCCAATGTCTCATTGATTTCATTTGCATTTCATCATGATTTTTTTTGTTTCTCTTGATGCTGACTCACCCTGTCCTTCTCTACCCCAGATACATACAGTGGTTCCCTGACACCCTCTGTCATTCTGTCTTCTAGTTTGGTGTTCTAGTAATTAGTCCTTGTCCTTGTGTCCCCTAGCTCTATTCCTACTTTGTTCCGAGGCAGTGATTCAGTAGCTCATTCTGCTTAAGTTGATTCTGTCCCTGTTTTTTGCCCCTACGACTGTTTATGGGGTTGAATGATGAAACAGATAGATAAGTGATCTATTTAAAAAATATTCTGCCTTTACAGAAAGTTTGTTATTAACCTGGGAGTTAAAACCTTGGTCCCCAGAGATCTATGCAGTGAGTGGAATTATACCAAAACAACCAAACAGATATTCAGGGGATGGAAACATGTGGCTGGGGACACAGAAGGCAAGAGCTTTCTGAGAAAGACACAGTTGCCAAGAAATGGTTGTGGAACAATGGTCTATTTTCCTTGTCATCTCTCTCCAGATCTTTTACTTTAATGATTACATTGAGCCAACTTTCTGAAAGTTAAAGGCCCTTTCAGCTCATCTGTTTTTGAGTGATCTTCACCAGTCAGTATTAACCATCCCCTCTGGGACAGGAAAGTGTAAAACAACTGTGCTTATTGACTTTTTCATTTTGAAAGAGCTGAACTGTTTCCAGCAATTAAAGGTAATTTGAAGTTTTCTGGGAAGTGTGAAAATTGGAGTAAGTAATAATAGTCCCTCTAATTTCCCAGCCCTGCAGGGATTGAGCTGTTGCTTACTGACAGCTCTCTATTTTAACCTTTGTGTGACCTTCGAGGGATTTAGGACCCACTGTTAGAGAAAACAGTACTAATCTACTGCCCTTCCTGGTCACAGATGCCACATTTCTGTGAATAAAATGGGTCATATGTTCTTTTCTTATGACTCTTCTCTTTTGGAACACTATGGTTCTTGGGAGAAATGCAACATGCAGTATTGATATTACTAGGAGATTTATGGCAGGAATGTGAAGCCATGCATAAAGCTTGTTAAACATCTCAAGCTAACTCGGCACAAGAAAACAGTAGATGGAAGCCCAGGATGTAAGACCCAACTGGGCAGAACTTCAGGGCCAAGAGATGACAAGGGATGACATAAAGATGGCACTTTCTTACCTAGTATTTGCTCTTAGATGATTTTTGCAGTCTGTTTTACTGACAGTGATATGTGGTTTATAAAAGTATGCCAAAGCAGTGTTGCTATAGGAGGAACTGGCTCCTGTTTCACTGTGAGCATTGTGACTTGTCAGGGATTTTATTTTTGGTGGGAATGATGTAATGTGCAGAAAGCAAGTTGTTCGGCTGTTTTTCCAATGTAGATTTTGCGATCCTGTTACTTACAAGGCATGGTTATTCTTTGTATCCATCCTCATCAGTGGACAAACAAGACTGCAGTTTCTTATCAGGTTTTTTTGTTGTGGTTTTCTTTTGTTGTTGTTTTATATTTTTTTTTTTTTTTACTTTTATTACTTACACTGGCCAGAAACAGGAAAGTTTCCTTCCCTTCAAGAGCTTTGCAGTCATACATAGACAGACAAATTTTCTATCTTTATTTTAATAAAACTGCGTGTCATCATCAGAATGTCCATGGTCCTTGCTTTAGGCCTGTGTTCACTTTTAATCCTTTGCTAACCCACCTCAGTGCAATGGCAGCACAGCAGTAATGGCATTTAGATCCAGAGCTGCAGCTTTTGTTGCTATCACAGCACATCTGCCTCTGTAGAGGCTTTTTGACTTTTGTCCTTCCTTCCTCGATGGTGCCATGCTTTTGGCTGTTTAATGGTTACTTTGCTATTGAACTCCACAGGGGAACATATCCCCAAACATTTCTCTAACCTCATCCAGAGAAATCTGAGGGTTTGTCTCCCTATGTTCCCAGCAGGAGCTTCCTGCTTGCTTTTTATGTTTCAGCTACTACACACACATACTTAGGTTTGACTCCTTTGGTAAAAACTAACCTAATGAGCTATCACAGAGAGCAGCTAATGGCAGTGCATCCTCATCCCCTTTCCCTATATAATTTTTCTTATCTACTTATGAAGTATTTCTGCACTGTGTGATTAGTTTTGTTAATCTCAGACTTTTAAGCATTAATTAATACATTTGGCTATTACTCTGAATATTTGAGATCTGCATGGCCTTGTGCTGTCCATACATTTTTACATCAGTGTACTTAAATATAGTGCTATAAGATATTAATTGGTAAACAATCACTGAAAATTTACTTCACACACAGGTTGTTCTGTACAGTAATACTGTCCTGGGGAATAGCTGTTCTATCTCATCAAAATCATCTTGTTTCCTGAGACATCACATATTTGGGGAAGAGTGGGTCAAACCCACTGAGGGATATAGACCTAAAATGCATGCTTAAGTTCATTCTCAGCATCTCTCTGGAGCTGATCCCAAACTGGCTCCATCTCAAATGTTCTTGCTGTTATTGCTTATTGCAGTAAATGATTCCCATCAGAAATTCTAAGCTGTTTCCAGTGCTGCAAGACATGCCTCAATATCAGAGTGTGGGCTTGGTATGATGAAATAAAATGAGGTATATTAACTGATTTTTTTTCAAGTTTGTAGCAAGGTAAAATTTGATACTTATGGGATATGACTATGATTTGATATGAGGTGTTAAATGGCTGGTTCAGTGATATGGTATTTGCCTTCACCTTTCCAGACAATAGGAGGGATTTTTCTTCTCATATGTTTTAATTCCTGATTTCTGTCAGTGTGTTCATATAATATGTTCAAATAACAAATGAATTTGACAATTTCTGATATTACAGTCCATATGATATAGAAGGTATTCAGATATAATTTTGAGGGGATGGGAGAAAACCCCAAGAAAATCAAACAGAAAAAGTAAATCGTAGACCAAAGTCAACTCCTGCAGGACACTGTACCACTCCAACACATCCCTCATCTTTGGGCAAGAGTTCATGTGCAGTTCCATTAAATAGCTAGTTTTTATGACCCCCAAAACATTCACAGAAATTTCATTGTACCACTTCAAGTAATAAGAATATATGATACTGTAAGGGTCTAAGTATTCTAATGTTGTTTCAAGTTACGAGGCTTTTGGGTGATCTGTGCTTTCCAAAATTCAGACCTCTAGCTTAGTGCTGCATTCCATAACTTTTTGTGTCAGAAGGCTCAGATATTTGGCATAGTATATATGTAAGAGGAAAAACTGGCTGCATTTTGAAACCAAGATTGTAGAAAATTATTTTGAAATAATCTTACCACATGCATTTCATTCTCTCTTGACACAGTGCCTATTACACTCTGAGCTCATAAAGCACCTCGACGTGCACTTAATTGACAAGTTAATCAGTAGTGCTGCTTTATTCATGACTCTCACATGCAAAGAGCTGGCCATGGGGGAACTAGAGACTCTTAAGACAAATGATGAGAAAATGAGAGGTAATATTAAAAATACTGTAGTTTACCTTTTTTCTTTTGGATGAGTGTTGTGGTTTAAACCCAGACAGCAGCTAAACACCATGCAGCTGCTTGTTCACCCCTCCCCCCCCAGGAATGGGAAAGAGAAAATAAAGCAAAAGGCTTGGGAATCAAGACAAGAACAAGAAGGGATGACTCACCGATTATGGTCATGGGCAAAAGACAGACTCCTTAGAGGAAGAAAAAGAACATCAATTTAATTCAAACACTAACAACAACACTTAATAGAGTAGGACAGTGAGAAGTATAATCTTAAAAACACCTTCTCCCATCCCCTCCCTTTTTCTTGGGCTCAGCTTTGCTCCCAATTTTCTCTACCTCCTTCCCCCTCTGTGGTTCAGGGGGGTGCAGGGGATAGGGGTTGCAGTCAGTCCCTCACATGTTTTTGTTACCACTCCTTCCTTCTCAAAGGGGAAACTCCTCACACCCTTCCTCTGCTCCACTGTAAGGTCCCTCCCATGGGAGACAGTCCTCCACAAACTTCTCCAATGCGAGTCCTTCCTACAGGCTGCAGCTCTTCATGAACTGCTCCAGCATGGATCCCTCCCACATGTTGCAGTCCTCACAGCACCACACTACAACAGTCAGGACTTTCTACAGAGTTCTGGTCTTCTTTGTGTACAGACACCTGCTCCAGCACGGGGTCCTCCATGGGCTGAAGGTGGACATCTGCTCCACTGTGGACCTTTATGGGCTGTAGGACATGCCCTCTCACCATGGGCCACAGGGGGATCTCTGCTCCAGTGCACCAACACCCCCACACTTTTCTTACACTGACCTGGGTGTTTGCAAATGTGTCCTCCTCACAACTCCTCCTGATAACTCCCGCCCCTCCTCCCAGGTTTCCCTTCTCAAATACATTATCACAGAGGTGCATCCACCATCACTAATTGGCTTGGCCTTGGCCAAAGGTGGGTCTGACTTGGAGTTGGGGGACCTTCAAGAAGCTTCTTACAGGGGCTAGCCCTATAACCCCTTCCCCCAATACCAAAACCCTGCCACACACACAGACTCAACACAATGAGAGAAGAAAACCTAATATGGAGACTGCTTGATTTGCTATTGGCAGCTTAATGTATGTCTTCAGAAAGTGTAGGGTTCTGAAGAGAAACTGTGAAGATGGTGACCAGACTCACATGAACAATAAGCAGCAACTGAGCAATGGTGAATATCCAGAATTCAATAGAATGAGAAGACTGCAAGTATAACAAAACAACGTAAGCATCTATACTGTTTCTTAAAGAGTTCTGTGATAATCTAGGTTTAGACATTTGGAATTTTAAAATTTGAAATGATTGCTTAAGTGATATATGCACTGTGGGAGATGCAATTACGTTGCTGCAAGCATAGTTACAGCAAAAAAAAAATGCTGTAGACAAGTATTTAAAATGACAGTGGTGCATACAAGAAACCTGACAAGTTGTGAAGACTGGAACTGTATTGTTTCTTACATGATATTCCAGGAACTATGTTAAAAGGAAACAGGACTAATCCTAATGAAACATGACCTCTCCACTGTGCCAGACTATTATAAACTGAACCTGACTGGCTACTGCAACGGTGACATTTTCTAATTCAATTTAATGGATTCCAGCACTTGCCCAGGCAGCTGTTGAAACCTCCCATTGATTGCAACCTATTTCATCTTTTCATCTGCCTGTTTTGCATTTCAATTATCATTTCTACCTTATTTTGCCTCTTCTGATCAGGTGGGTATTTAACAAATGTCTACTATCAAAATAATCCTAATATTGCATGTAACTTCCTGTAATGATTCTGTGCCACCTCAAGTTCACATTAGGCTCTTGTCTCAATAACTAAATCTCACTTCACAGATAAAACTTCTTATTTACTCTCTGTGTTTTCCAGGATCAGCCTGCTCATTGTTCCTCACTGATGTTTGACTCTTTACTGCACTTTCATTTTAATCTGTGATGGTTAAATTCACTCCTCCATGCACAGAACGTACATTTTTCCTTATTATATTCTTCATAAAAGAAAGTTGAAATCTCAGCTCTTAGTTTTCAAGATAATTAAAATGGCCAAGTTTTTCCTCTACCATTGTTTTATATTAAGCATTCTTGGGTATGTCACTTAAGATGTCCATGGCTAAGTTTAACGGTCTTTAAAACGAATACCATAATACATTCACTAGATTATTGTGATCTAATTAGTGAATCCTTTGAAAAATCCTCTGAAGTTCTCATTTGTAACGTGCTTTATAAATATGTAATAGTCATTGCAATAAATTAATTTAATTTCCTGGGTTTCAGCCCAATATCATATGGATTTGGAACTTATGCTTTGTTCTATTCTGCCCACACATAGTGCTTCATTTTGTGGG